AGCCTTTTTATTATATCCTTACTCTGTCCTGGACATTGAGTTCTACCTGGATTCTATCCTCTTGGAATTTTTATTCAAAAATATATATGCATATGTATGCATCTATGTATATATATTTATATATTTTGCATATGTATGTGTATATTTACTACTAACATATATATATATATATATATATATATATATATATATATATATATATATATATATATATATCAAAAGTCGGTTAAGAAGTAATGCATGTTCTATAATTACAAGAGATTTAATAGTCATAGCATATAAAGCATACCAAAGTGAATACAAAATTCCTTGGATTATAATCTCGTCCGCAACATAAACTCCTTCCTTCTCAATTGTGGTGTTCCACTTTTCAATGAAGGTATGCATATCCGTCCCGTAGAAGCTTCTTGGTTCCATGTTTAAGCATATACTTTTTCATCTCATCATTGCTAGAGAATCGTAGTGCTCTGAGTACCTCCTTCATGGACACAAAGTGATGAAAGCTCTTAGGCACCAACTACTCTATGTTCCGTCATGTTGTTTGTTAGTATTCTCGGAACTCAATTTTTACATAATTTTGAATAGCTAAGATATTACACATCCTTATTCGCAGCAGCAGCTGTCCTACCACTGAGGAGCCTGTCATTAAAGTCAGTTTCTCCTTTTCTCTACGATTGCTGTAAATACCCCCATATATATATATATATATATATATATATATATATATATATATATATATATATATACAGAAAATATCTATATAAGTAGATGCAGAGAATAAAGGCGTACATCTAGATACATTCTTTCGATAATTTTTTCATTCTGCTGAGCAGTGGAATTGACATCCGATTCGCTGAACCTGGGAGGGAGGGTAAGTCATATAAATTGCTGGAAATAGTGGGTAGGTTCGGCGAACGAACGTACATAGATGGTTAAGGCTTCAGGGTCCGGGAAATTAAAGTTAAAGGCAACGAAGACAAAGGGTAGCGGTGTGGGTAAAGTGCCGGGTAAAGTGCTGGAAAGAGTGTTGGAGGCGGGGGGAGTGAAAAGCCAGTTTCTCAACGCTGGGGATAACAATTTTTTTTTTTTTTTTTTGACTGATAAATGTGGAAGAAATATTTCCTATAAAGAAATAGACACCGGGCACATTCTTTGGCATCTCGAACCAGGCCCCTTCCCCCCAAAAAAACATTTCTGCCAATTTTCCTGTCCCCGTTTCAGATGCATTGCAGAAATTAAAAAATTAAAAAAAAAAAAAAAATGGCTGCGCATTTCATATGTGTAAGTTTGATTAAAGACGATAGTCTAGGAATGTTCTTTTTCATTTTAAGTTAACATTTTTTGTTTATGAGTAAAAGTAAATAAATAAATAAATAAATAAATCACGTGCCTGTTATCAAAACTGGGAAATGACTCGTTTTAGAATGTTTAAACTCTGTACTAAGCGTATACACGTCAAACGTGTTAATTGAGGCAATGCATATATATATATATATATATATATATATATATATATATATATATATATATATATATATATATATATATATATGGATATATATATATATATATATATATATATATATATATATATATATATATATATATATATATATATATATATATATATATATATATATATATATATATATCCATACAACCATTTATTCTACATTCAACACAATCACTTGATAAGACGCCACAAGAGTTGAAACAAAATGCCTATTTTGTAGTGATTTTTTATGTTATAATTTTCGAAAAAAAATGATTATATATATATATATATATATATATATATATATATGTATGTGTGTGTGTGTGTGTGTGTGTGTGTGTGTGTGTGTGTGTGTGTAAAAGGCTCAAACACTTATATTCCATGCTTATAATTTATTACATTGGAATCGTAATTACGATCCAAATCATCAGACCTACAAATTCACGATTCCAATGTAATAAATTTTAACCATGGATTATTAGTGTTTGAGCCTTTTATATTATATTCTTACACTGTCCTGGGCAGTTCTAGCTGGATTCCATCCTCTTGGGAAGTTTTATATATATATATATATATATATATATATATATATATATGTTGACCACTAATATTCTCTCTCTCTCTCTCTCTCTCTCTCTCTCTCTCTCTATATATATATATATATATACGCAGTTGTATGAATATGAGTTTATGACACCTGGTTTCACGCCTTTGCTATCCTCAGACAAACTGGTTTATTTTTTAAAATTGGATCTATTTATGCTTGTTTGACTATGCCTGGTGGTGAGAGGAGGGAATTTACTTTTAAGTTGTTTGGGGTGACGCTCTCATACACATAGACTCACATACATACAGGTTTACCCATTAGTAAATTACCCATCCCAACAGAAACATAGCCAAAAAAAAAAAACAAAAAAACATAAATAGATTCAATTTTAAATTTCAGTTTGTCTGATGATCACAAACTCATATCTATACAACTGATATTGAGTGCTTTCCACTAAGTACTGCGCATATCTATCTATCTATCTATCTATCTATCTATCTATCTATCTATCTATCTATTTATCTATCTATCGATCTATCTATCTATCTGTATATTTCATTGAATACGACAGACAAGGTGTTTTTATTTAGTTTTATACAATTTCTCATGCGATCTAATAATTATTTACTTTTCGGATGATAAATTATATAAAAACTGTCCGAATGTTCTTTTTATCCGAACGCTTTCGGCTATACATTTAGCCATTTTCAAGGATTAAATATTTTAACTGTTAAATCAGAAATAGTTTGTTGTATATATGTTTTATCTTTTCATTTTTTAAAACACAGTCAAGATATTGTGTCCATTTTCAAAGTTAATATTATTAAGTGTTGTTTTTTTTTTAATTATTATTAATAAAGCTTCTATTATTTTTAGCCTTTTTTGCATGTAGATGATGCTATTATATACATGAATATTTAAATGAGATCTTATTGAGCTATGGTCAGAATGGTGTAGAGTGAGTCTGCGTGTTAAACATGTTGTAGTGTGGCCTATATAATTATTTACGAATTTTGATTGATTTTAATGAAATGTACATGAAAGAAGGATTGCTGCCTAAATACACCAATTTATATATATATATATATATATATATATATATATATATATATATATATATATATGTGTGTGTGTGTGTGTGTGAAAATCTATAGAAAATAGGAAAGAACTCGTTAGGTAAATAATCCAAAGTTCTTTAGTATTAATGTTATTATTTTTAAAAACAGTGCTCGATACAAAAGTAGAGCCTAAATATAATTATTTATTTAAATGATTTTTAAGGAAATTTAAATATAATTATTTATTTAAATGATTTTTAAGGAAATTTAAATCAAAATTTAATTTTGAGGAAATTTAAATTTAATTTCAGTTTAATTTAAATTAAATTTAAGTTTTAAAACAAATTTAAATTCAATTTTTTCCTCAAAAAATCATTTAATCAACAGTTACTTACCATCGCCTGAAGAAGAACAATCAAAGTATTGAAGCATGAAAGCTTTTGTGTACTGATTTCAACATATTTTTAAATTATAATCTCTTATAATAAAAATAAAAATAATAATATATTGCTCTATGTAATAATAATAATAATATATTTTTCTACTATAATAAAAAATAATAATATATAAAAATATAACATTAATAATAAAAAATACCAAAAATAATAATAATATATTGCTATACTGTATATTGAGTACGTTTTAAGAGTAAATACTGCGAAAAGTGGATTTTTACCCTATCTATTCTTTCTCTCATTTGAATATATATATATATATATATAGAGAGAGAGATCAGTTCCCAGGAAACCGACAGCCCAATAACAGCACATGAGAATTGATTATAGTGGTGAAGGTTTCCTGCAGGATCATCCACACTTTTTGAAGTACGTGCCACATGGTCCCCAAACGACCCTCCGCTGGGTTTGAGTTCAGAGTTGTCCTTCTCCTTGACCAGTTGCCATCCAAGGCTATAGAATCCAGTCTGTCCTGCTATTTACACATAGCTGGAGGGAGAAGAAGAGGATTCATATCTTTCCCAAGGGTATTAGCACGTAAGTGGATTCGACTGAAATTCGAACTCGGCTCTCTGATTCTTCAATCCAAGCCGCTATCCATTACTCCACCGTGCCTCCAATATATATATTATTGAGTGGTGAGAAACCAAAACCACCAGTCTACAAATTTCCAGAGAGACCATTGAAAGTAGAAGACAAACCCCTGAATTATGTAAAGTCTTTCACCTATCTTGGTAGCAAAGTCAATTACAGCGGAACTTTAGATGATGAAATCATGCATCGGATTGCTAAGGCTACCAGTGCTTTAGGCAAAATTCGCCATCGCTTGTGGAATGAGCGGGGTATTCGACTGGATACGAACATTCGGGTTTACAGAGCTGTTGTACTTGCCATCCTTTTGTATGGCTCAGAGTCGTGGACTCCATACAGGTACCATATACGCCAGCTAGATGTTTTCCATAAAAGCTGTCTGCGGGCAATCTGTGGAGTTAAGCTTCAAGACAGGATATCTAACGTAGACCTGTTTAACAGGTGTAATATTGGAGGAATCGAGACTTTTATCATACAGTCTCAGTTATGGTGGACTGGTCATGTCTTGAGAATGTCTGATGACAGGATACCTAAGATCCTAATGTACAGCCAGTTAGATCAGGGCTACAGGAATGTAGGACACCCATGGCTAAGATACAAAGACAAGCTGAAAAGCAACTTGTCAGCAGTCAATATATAACACACAGCCAACATAACACCCTTGATCGCTTAGCCTTTGAGTGGGTAGAATGGAGATCAACATGTTTTAGTGGGCTCAGCAGTTTTCAATCTGCTTGTCTGAATCATCTTCAAGAAGCGAGAGCAAGATCTAAAAGGTCAGCCAATCTAACTGATCTCATCTCACAATCCTCACACTTGCTCTATATGTGAGCTCCTTTGTAAATCACTAGCGGGTCTTAAATGCCACTTAAGATTATTTATAACTGAATCAATAAGCTGTCAGATCCTCATACATCGAAACCGACAGGAAGAGTCCATTATATATATATATATATATATATATATATATATATATATATATATATATATATATATAATTCAGGATATTACATCAAGCATGTATAAAACGCTACACAAATGCAATGATGTTCCGGTGTGTATAAGACATCTCATCGTTAATAAATAAATTGCGATAAGGCAATAAAAAAATATTGATCTTCTTTTGTATTGAACCCTCTTTTAAATTGAATGTTACGAACGGCGGAATTGAACTCCATTCATTGTCATTTTACATGCATATATATATATATATATATATATATATATATATATATATATATATATAAAACATTAGGCAGCATATAATTTACATACAACGAAATAATCACACATAGAATCAATCAGAAGTATTAATGCGATTATTGGCGACATCCATCGCTAGAAATATAATATATGCATTAAAATACTGTTAATCCATAGTGCGAAGTGATCCTCGTCGATAAACTTGATGTCTGTAGTTTTCAGTTTATTCGATGTTAAAATGCTAGTACTTACGAATAGTCCTCTATTCATCATCAGGCATGTGTTTTTTCCTTATGAAATCAAAAACTTGAAGACGAAATACTTGTATGTCGACCGAAAGATGTTTTTTGAATATGTTTTGAATTTTATGTTTATAAAAAACTATCGATCCGCAGTACATAAAAATTCCTATGAAAAAAAAACTACTACTAAGACATTACACTATATTATTGAACTATATACTTAGTTCATGACATAAAAACTGAATACACTTGTAAAAATAGAATACGTGGATTTAACACATCACAAGAAATATTTAAATAAAATTCTCATTTAAAATTTTGAAAAAATCTTACACAACCGTCAATAATAGCAGGTATTCAAAAAACATCTATTTAGAGGCGACAGTCTGTTTCATGCTATATGCAATCGTACTGTCGCCTGTAATTGTTGTCTTCTATGTTCATTTATATATATATATATATATATATATATATATGTAAAAGTGAACATAGAAATCAACACTTTTAGAGTTGACAGTCTATTTCATGCTAGATGCAATCGTCAGACCACGAGCCTCGTGGCCTGACGATTGCATCTAGCATGAAACAGCCTGTCGCCTCTAAATGTTGACTTCTATATTCACTTTTATATTTACACACAACTCTGTCTCTGATATTGAGCACTTTATCCCATAAATATAGCACATCTTAAGACTTTATTTCCTCATATATATATATATATATATATATATATATATATATATATATATATATATATATATATATATATATATATATATATATATGTATGTATGTATGTATGTATTTCAACTTATATTATTAAATACAACAGATAATGAATGAGCCGTTCTAATTTCTTCTTAAGTGTGATTGTTTCAGCACAAACCCTTCACCACTATAATCAAATTCTATGTACAGGTTGTCTGGCTGTCGGTTACCAGGAACTGATTTGTAACCCTCGTACATTGGAAAAAATGACAGGAGAGTCCAACATATATATATATATATATATATATATATATATATATATATATATATATATATATATATATATATATCCACTCAAAAAGCGACAATTAAGGTGTAACTTTCATTAAAAAATGCTTTTACTTTACTCTTATTTCCAAGCTAATTGATTAAAGTTAATACTCCCATAAGCAAATACTTTCAAACCGAATTTAAATTGATTGGGATTCTTTTTTCTTCGATTATCAGTAAAATCTGTAAAATCGTCCATATTGACAAAATTGTAAACACAACATTCTCTTTATAAAAAATATCAAAAATCAAATATATTTTTCCGAAATATTACTTGAGAAAAATAGTTGATTTAAAGTTTAATTTGAATTGAAACAAATATTAAATACTTATTTTAAATTAAAATATCGTAAAAAATTTTAACACAGAGGTGCGTGTTTATATGAGGTGTTGACAGATCTGTCGACATCCTGATGTTCGGGATATTTACATTAGGAGATAATTGTAATAATATTACCTGATCCATATAACGTAAACGCCAATATATATATATATATATATATACTAGCAGTAGAGCCCGGCGTTGCCCAGGGATGTAACAGTAAGAGATAGATCAAGTATCGACCATCATAAAGACTGAAAAATAAAATTGACAAAGATTATTGTTTAAGGTTGACGGACACGCATGTCTTAATTAGTTTTTTTTTGTTTGTTTTTCTTTTACGAATTGGTCAAACCCAAACTCAAACAAAATCATTGTTTTCAATCGTGATGAGTCTACCGATTGAATAGAATTTTATTATAAATAATTGTCTTGTAAATGGAATTTTTAAAACATTCTGAATGTAAAAATAAAGAAAAAAGTGTGCAAGACAATAAGAAACACTACCTGCCAAAAGAAAGTGAAGTTTTGTTGAAATCGTATGAAAAATGTAGGAAATCCGATCCCATATATAAAGGAACACACACACACACACACACACACACACACACACAACCTGGGTTTTTATAATAAGTATAA